TGGATCTACAATTCCATTCATATCGTCGAAATTTAAATCCACTAAGAGGAAAATTTTGTAAAACGTTTATTAATCATTTTAAAAGAAAATCTATTGAAAAGGCTAAGAAGAAATGAATGAACGACGCCAATACAATTTATATCACTTGAAGAATGGTCCTACAATTGATTTAAATAGTGTGAGAGAAATCATTCTTAGGAACAAATGTCGTTAAAAAAAATTCCTTTCATTCCTAACTTTGACCATTATTAAAAAACACACGAGTACCTTCTTTTTCCATGATTTCTCCTTTTTGAGGTTCACTTTTACCCAATGGTGGTCACTTTTTCCTGTCAATGACGGAGCACGACTATTACTATTTAATGTGGCCAGAAATGGATCATCCTTTTCGTGGGTAGGAGTGACAATTAAATTTGGAAAAGAATATGAGTCGAAATCCGAATTTTTTCGATTTACTAATATATATCGTATACGGTATGATTATTGGTTTTGGAAAAAAATAAATATAGAAAAAAAAGTAAATAAATAATGTGTATGCGTACTAAATAATTCCTATATGCGTGAAAGAGGAAAAAATTATTATGTATGCGCTGGCCTACTATATGTTTTTTAAGGAATTGATCACTCACGGATCGTACAAACAAACCTTCATACAGAGCCGTATCTTTATCCTTTGAACCTTTCCTGAACCATTTAGGAAATATATTCTTTTTTTTTTCTTCCTTGTTCGGTCCGCCGGGATTTGTTTTTGGCAATGAATCGTTGTCAGTTTCAAAAGGTAGATCAAGAGATTGATAGGCAAAAGGGACTATGTTTGGATCCGGCGGAGCAACATATCCGTATCGAACATTCATGTCAGGTTGAACTGAATCAAATGATTTTCTCCTTGGCTCGTCACCGTCTGGTAAAGATAAAACTGATTTCAAGTTACCCGCAGACAACTTGCGAATATGACGTCCTTCTCTTTTACTTGATCTGGAGGTTATGTTGTTCAGCGAATGAAGACTAGAATCATGACTGGGAGAGGCGGGTCGTGAACTAGACCAAAAAAACGAAAATATGGAATCCTTCTCTTCGCGGGATTTTTTCCTTTTGTTAAGAACCCCACCAGTGGGCGATTGACCTGGTGGAGTAGGAGTACGGAGCGGAGACGGTGGAGAAAGGTCTAAGTCTGAAGATCGCCGAGGGGACATAATGTCAAAGGTGAATGAGAGAAAATGGAAAGCGGAAATACATTAAAAATTTTTTTGTTTCCTCAATGGACAATTCGTTTTTGCCCAGGTCAATTGTAAACAAATTGTGTGAAACAGACACAAAATGTAAGATATCATGTTTAGTTTAGCGAATCAACGATCGCCTACGGTTTAATACTGTGATGAGTGATGGAACACATGATCGCTCTGAATTACAATAGTGTCAACATAAAATAATAGGGAGCCAAATCACAAAATCACTATAAATAAACTTTAGTATAGAAAAACGAATTACGCATCATATAAGAAATTTGTTTTCTTCTGAGGGACTTGATTCGCCGAAGGATAATCAAATAGTAAGCTTCCTAACCATAATTGGATTAATTAAAGGATCGACTACACTATATTTCTATATTTCGTTGTGTTGATAATCCTTTTGATATCATCAAATTTATAATCAGAAATTATCAACTTTACATAATTAATATTGTATGCAATCCTGCATAGTTTAATTCAATCGTTATTCAATGCATCTTGCGTCTTTACCAGAAATGTCCCAGAATAAATAGCTGTGCCAATCATAGAAATTCGTTAATTGCTACGCCCATATATTATATTCGTTCTTCGCACGAGACAATTATATAATGAATATTTTTTTTTTTGAGATCATCTCTTTCGCGTTCGTAAATGGAGGAACGTCGGAAAATTTGGAGCATAAATTTAACACAAAGGTTTCGCTTGCATGTTCCCATTTATAAACAGCCGTGTTATTGAATACACACTCTTCAAACGCGTTTGAGGAGTAAAGATCAGCATGCATATACCCCAGTATACATACGCACATACTGTATGAATGTATAATATTTATCTAAGTTTAATCCGTTTATAACACGCAGCTTGCAAGAAAAAAGGAAGGTATGTACTGTACGTACCTTTGGCGCATCTCGTTATTATAAAAATGTCAGACGACGAGATAGATGATACACATATTCTACAGTTGATATTATTTATCTAATTCATGAGATCACAAGTTTCCACAAAAGAATTCATCGCGAAAAGGAGATTTCAATGATATACTCTTTTGGATGAACTGCATTTATATTAGCACTAATATCAAGTATCTGCATATTCATCTTTCAGAATTTCATCCGATTATTTGATTTAAATGTGTGTAAATATTTTATATTCCTGTGATTTGCACATGAGAACATAAAGCCGGTGCAATTGTTTGTTTATTCTTAGATGCTTTTGGGTCGAATTGCAATATACATAGATACTTTCTATGAATGGGCTTGCGGGAACATGTCTGACAGAAAATTTAATAGTCACCAGACTAATAAGATCATTTCGAAAAAAGATGTACTTCCAAAGAAAATCTACACGGACCGGTGACACGGAGTAAATAATGCCGATTTTATTGAAAAAAAAATTTTTTTTATGTCATTCACCGGTGTGTAAACAATGCAATATTAATAATTACATCTATTTATTTATTGATAACAACGATGTTAAATTATCATATTACACCATCTTTAATTATTTATAAAGTATAACTAAATAAGTTACGTTTTTTTGTATGTTTGAGCAAGATAAAGTATTGTGAAGTACAAGAGATCAACAAAAAATAATAAAAGAATAAGATCTATTATACAAGAGTTAGCTCAAAAAAACAGAAAAAGAGTCTTGACAAGAAATTTAAATAAACTATAAACTTATCAAAAACATTAAGTCAGATTTCATTGAAAATATTATTTGTACATGTGATACTTAGATTATATTAAATATCTTTATAATGTGTAAATTAATTTTAATCTATTTATATTATATTTCAATAATGTTAACTGTACTTTTAAAGTAAGCTTACATGTTTGAAAGAAAATTTTTATATGGCAAAATAAAATAGATTGTTAAAAATGGCAGGTAAATTTTTATTTTATTTAAATTGAATTTATAATATTAAATTAATCAATTAATGATTGTTTCAATTAACAAGCAATATATTGTTTTGTTGGTTAAAAAAAGAATTGTATAAAACAACAGTTTTGTTTATAGGTGTTATCTTAAATTTATTATAAAACTTAGCAAAAAAAATTATCATAACAATTAAAAAATAACATGAAGATACAAAAAAAAATCAGTATTTCAATTATTAATTAAATCAATCTGAATAAAATTTATCTATACAAGAAGCAATATTAAAATTAATAGAAAAAAATAAATAAATAAATAATAATAATAATTATATTAAAAGAAAATAGCAATATAAAAGTATTTATATAAATATAAATATAAACAATTATAAATAGATTGATTAATTATTAAAAATTTGAAATTTTTAAATATCAACTTATATTAATTTAAAATCAAGATATTTAATTTATTTAATAAATTAAAAATAATATTTTTTATATATTATTATAAATATTTTTTGTAAAAAAGCTTTATAAATTTTTAAAGATTTTCAAAAAACTTTGAAACTTTTTATATCAAAATAATTTAAAGATCCATAGAACAAATATAAAATAAAATATTTTAATTGATTTCAAGTATTTTATAAAAAATTAAGTTGACTTGTTCTTTTAGAATATTTAATAAAAAATATGCAAAACAAAATTTTACTATAAGTTACTTAAAATAAAAAATGTTTAAAGTTTCTTAAAAATTGTTATTTATTTAAAAATTCTAAATTTTATAATATTCCAAAAGTTTTTTATATTAAGTAAATTATAGTAAAATTTTATTTTATATATTTTTTATTAAGTGTTTAAGAAGAATAAATTAATTTAATTTTTATAAATTTTTAAATATTTTTTAAATATTTTTAGTTTAGTTTTATTTTTTAATTTACATATAATATTTTAAACTATTTTAAAGATTATTATCAATTATTTTTATAATATAAAGTTTTTAAATTTTATTATTTTATATAATATTTTGAAATCCTTTAAAAAAAAATTAAATTTTTTTTTAAAAATAAACTTATTAATTAATTAAATATTTTTTTTTTATTAAAATAAGGTATTATATAAGCAATATTATAAATTGCTTCTATATTTATTATATTATATATTTTGATTAATTAAATATATATGCATTCATATTTATATAATATTTTTTAAATATAAAATTATATTATTATATTAATACTAATTTTAATTAGGGCTCCCAACAATATTACTTTGATATCAGTTTAATACTTAAATTTATTATAAAATTATATGAGTAATCATAATCTATTTTTTTTTTTTTTTTTGCTGCAAACAAGCATTAAATGCGAGACATTTATTAAACATAAGTTTATCGTCATTACATT